GGCATAGTTCTGACATTCAAGTGATAATTTCCTCAAAACTGTTTAGCGCTCCGTATATATTCCATGTGCTCCCCCATCTTTCCAACTTTGTTGTGGGTTGGTTGGAACTACTCGATTTAAGTTCTGTCCAATAGGGTGTGAGTGGAAATGAGATGTGCTGCTTCTGGGCCCCAGGGCCACCTGCCGGCACTCTCTCCCCTAGCTGGAAAACCCTGGAAAGAATGAGTGGTGGGATCACAAGAGGATAGAGTTCCCTAGGGTCTCTGAGAGAGAGCATGGTGTATAAACTCCACTGACTGACACCAGACACTTAGAATGAGCAAGAAAGAAAATTCTGCAGTGTTAAGTCACTGGTGTTTCTAGGGTATGTTGTCACTGCAGCCTGCCGTTAAGTAATCGGATAAGTACAGAACTCAAATGATGGAATATAGCTCCACCCCAATGAAACCATCAGAATTACCCTTGGTAGAGTCATATGACTCAAGCTCAACAGAGATATTACATATTTCTTCACTTTTCAATGGCAAGGAAATCTTTTCTTGCTGTGACTAAAGAGAGAAAATTGAAAGTGATCTTTTGCTGGAATATGTTAATTGAAGAATCTCTCTTCTCAGCTGAAAACCAGATTGTAATTCCAAAATTGTGTCTGATGTACCCCAAACACAGCATTGCCTTCACAAAGAGAAGGCCCTTGGTGATTATTAGTTTAAAAACATAAAATCCTCTCCCACCAGGTTCAAAGCCAACCTCATTCTTTTGTTCCTATAAAGACTTTCTTTCTTTGTGTTCCCTGGTGTCTACATGGCCTATGAGCTTTCTCCTAATGATTAAACTCCTAAAAATACTACAAAGAATGCTTAATAAGGCTTTTGTGTTTTACTGGTTGCTATAGAGACTGTTTAGTGTAGGATTTTAAGTACGTGTAAATATGTATTTTGGACAGTGTTTAAAAACACATATAATTTACCCAGCCATAACAGCTACTTCAGAGCACTAGCAGTTCAGTGCGATAAGGCATATGTAAAGCATTTTATAGTGTGTTATTTATAGTTATTTACTTAATAGCCTATAACCGTTCCTTCTATTGTGTAAAGGAAATAGGCATTTACCCTGTTTTAACAATGAATATCATTTACTCTATTGTAGCAATTGATAGTCTTGAGGCCCATGCAGGCTAGTGAATATGCAATTGGTATAATGTTGATGCCAGAGCGGAAACCATGTTGACAGAGAGTTAGTGGGAAAACAAAAGGTCCCGCTGATGGAGTCTTGAGCTCATTAGGGAAGTTGTTGACTGAGCTACTCTGGCACGATAGGAAACCCCTGGAAAGAGGCCACTATCTGCTTTGAAGTCACCCCCAGGGATGTACCCAAGGGTGAAATAAGACAGATAATAATAGCAACAACAACTAATAGTTATTGAGCAAATGCGACATGGCCACAGGCGTGGTATAAGTGCTGTACATTCGTGATCTAATTTCATCTTCACAACACAATGACCCTATGAGACGGGTATGGTTGGTTATTTGTTTCTCAGACAAGGAAACTGAGGTAGAGAGGTTTATACAACTTGACCAAAATTATCACACAGCCAGTAGATGGTGGATCCAGGAGTCAAATCTAGGTCAGTCTCACTCCAAAGCTTGTCCTCTATTGTTGTTGTTGATCTATATTACTCTGTTGTTGTATATTACTCGGGGTCTGCCAGGGAGTTCTAGAGCCACAAAGAGGTTAGTTCTTTCTCAGCAATATATCCCTGTCCTATAGCACATGGATGTACACGTGCACACACGCACAAACACACACACACGAAGTTCTCGGCAAGGAGCCATTCCATTATCCAAGGAAAAAGGTATGATCATAGTCACTGAGCTTCTCCACTTGTAGGTCCTTTATCCACGTCCTCTTTTAAGCCTCACCTCAATGCCAGGTTCTACATTTCATTACCCACTTTGTGTAGATGAGGAAGCTGCCTCGCAGGCCAGGCCTGTCCGATGGCACATAGAGTGTATGCAGCAGAACCAATACTTAATACCAGATTAGGTATAACTCAAAAAACCCTGTCATCATAGAAAAGCACAAATACATGTATACAGTGTTTCTCAACTGTGGGACAGTCTTTCTCCTAAGGGACACTTGGTAATTGCTTTGAGACACTGGGATGATTGCTACTGGCATCTAGCAGGTAGAAGTCACAAACGCTACTAAATATCCTATAGGATGTACAGAACAGCCACTCCCAGCAAAGGATCAGCTGGACCCCAATGTCAATAGTGCCAAGGTTGAGAAAACCTGACTTAATGTAACTAAAGACAGTCCAAGATGGACTGGGAAACACTATGTCAGTTGAATTTAAACTCAAATAATGATGGTTGCTCATCTATCAGCTTAGTTTAAAAAATGGATTTCAAGATTTATGAATTAATCTGCCTAGTTGTTTTAGAAAGGCACCTTAAAAGTTTTCACACTCCAAAATATGTTCAATAAAGCCTGTGATCAGGATGGGCCTTCCAGCATCTGAGATAATATAGTAAGAGGCTCTGAGTTCATTCAGACATAGGGATAATCAGGAAAGAATGTTTAGTGGAATAGTGAGTTTGATGAAGGCAGGAATTAATCTGTCTTGTTTACTGTAATATTTGACTTTCCAATTTTAACAGCTAGCACATGGTCAAAGTTCAAACCACTCTCATTCTTTAGTTGACTGTGAAATGCATGTTCTTGGCCATCCCATAATTGAGTGAGTGGCTCCCGGGAAAAACTGGAATGGGTCCTGGTGAATCCACCAGAATTCATCTCTTCTCTCCCATCTTCTTTTTTTTTAAACCTCACAAGTATATATTCATTGATTCAGTTAGGAGACAAGTGTCTGCTATGCATACATTCCTTCTGGGACCTCTTTGCTAGAGTCTTTGCTAGGTTGGGACTCTTCCTAGTCACCATCTTGCTTCCTGACTAAGTGAAAAATCTATACCACTTTTGCAAAATACATTTAACCTCTGTAAGGACAGGACATTGCTCTGGCTTGTTTAGCACTGCATCCCTGGATATGCCCTATCCTAGGATAGTGCTAAGTATCTGTTGATTAACTAAATTACCATGTTCTATGATGTTGAAAAATCTTAGAAGACAAATAAAACTCAAGGTAATCCAGCCTGCTTAGAAAATACAAACATCAGAAAGAAGGCAATTCTGGGTAAGTGTTGGGTAGCATACATAGGTATAAGCTATACTCACAGCAAGGAGACTGGAAAGGCAGTAGAGAAGAGGAAAGAGTGTAGGGGAGCCCTAGGAGTTGAGGCACCTGAAAGCTACTCTGCTGGCTAGATGCATGCCCCACTTACTCTCACCACAGGGGCTCTGCATGGCATGCCAGTCTTGTGTTGTCACTAATTTAGCTATTTATACCTTGTCCCTGACTGGATCCAAACTTCTCTCTTCCATGATGAGCTGTTAAAGAAATGAGCCAAGATTCACTGGAACCTTCCTCTTAGGGAAGGTTCCTAGACTTTACGATTCACTGTTTAGGAGTAAAAATGAAAAGAACTATCCTTTATGGAGCACTTGCCACGTGTCAGATCTTGAGCTAAGCAATTTATGATATCACAACTTAATCTTAATTAAAACTCCACAGGAGGGTGCAGCTACTCCCATTTTGCAGTTGAGGAAGCTGAGGATTAGGTAGTTTGCATAATGGTTAATTGCTTTTGGCTTTTTTATAAATGGATCCTGAGGAGAGAGTGCCAAGTTTCTGGGTGGGAACTCAAGCTAAGAGCCTGGTGATCATCTTTTGTTTCAAAGTTAGTCCTTCATGTCATCACTGGCTTAGCTCCAGCTCCAACCATGCAGCTTTGCTGGGATTTCCAAGTAAGGAAGCAGGAAGGTGCTAAAAGATCTGGGGAAAATTAACCAAGCCAGAAGAGCTGTAATAGGAAGAAGTCAACAGTGTCAATCGGCGAGTCTAAGACGATGTAAGGAGCTCCAGTGAAGTATCTTGCTAGAATCAATATCTAACTGGTCTGTGGACATAGGAGCAGTAAGACAGTCAGTGGAAGGACTGCCTGAGATCAGACATGTGCTCTAGCAATAGAATGAGCTTTCTCCAAATCTAGGAGAGAGAAGAAGGTCACATGGCCCAGCCATGAGCCACCAGGCTGTCTTGAACTAAGTGATGGGTCAAGACAGTGGCCTAAGATAGATGCAGATCCAGGCTGCATTCAGAAGATCAAATGAAAGCATCAGGTAAACCTCCACGCATACCTACCCATGGGAAAAGAGGGGGATCAGGAGGCATTTATTTGACAAACACTTAATGAGATTTTTCTATGTGCCTGGCACTGGATATAGAGTTGCAGGCAAGAAAAAGGTGATATCTCCACTGAGTTTATAGTCTAGAAAGATAGACCAATGAGACACAGCTAAGCCTCTGTTTAGCCCTGCTATAATATTCACCGGTGCAGAAAGTACTGCTGATCTTTTTACAGTCTTCCTACTGAAAATGTGGTCCACAGACCAGTAGCAGTAGCAGCAGCAGCAGCTGGGAACTTGTTAGAAAAACAGAATCTCCAACCTCAACCCAGAACTCGTGGATCAGAATCTGCACTTTGACAAGATTCCCAGGGGATGCAATGCTCATTAAAGTTTGAGAAGCCGTGGTCTGCAAACCTTCCTTGCAGACCAGGGTCTTTGGTGTATCCCACCAGGCACACAGGGGCTATCACTTCCTGCCACAGACATCCTCACAGATATGAAGGTTATACCAGAATCAGCAGAGATCAAGCAAAGTGTATTCTCAGGAGCTCCTGGAAATAATTACCGTTCTCTTAATAATAAATGAATAGGCTGCAGTCCCAGAACACATTGAGAACAAAGCAAAACATGTCAATATAAAATCCAGCAAATAAAACAATCAATTTAAAATAGATTTCTCTAAATGGTTTGCCTGCTTGGGCTAAGTGCCCTGCCTCTGGACTCCCATAGTATGCTGTGCTTATTCCTACCTCAGTCCTTATTCTTTGATCTTGAAATTTTCTATTTCTGTGTCTGCCTCTCATTCTAGACTGTAAGTTCTTTGAGGATTCTCTTTCCTGAAAAGACAAAAGGGGCATGAACAGAAGGATTGGAGGCAGTTGTGAAACACTGGGGAAAAACAAACAAACAAACAAACAAACAAAAAACAGTTCTCTGTGTGAAATACTTTTAACAGAAGAATAACAATACATACAATTCTAAATTCTTCCCTGAGGATGCACTGATAAGTCTCTTCCCCCTTCCACCTGTAAAGTTCTCCATTTTTGGGGTCTCACATAAGCAATTATCATTTGCTAGCCTAGTGAGGAGAGGATTCTCTTCTAAGACTTGCCAGATATTCACTAAAGACAACAGAAGACACTCAGGTGTCTACACTCTTCAGTGACATGTACCCACACTGACTCTAGGCTTGGCCACCTAACTTACTTCAGCGGATGGGACAGAAGAAAACTTAATACAAGCAGAAGCTTAAAGAGTTCTTTCCATTTACTCTCTCTCATTTCTGTTGTCTTCAGCATGGAACAAGTCTGAACTTACCCACTGGGAGATAAGAAGACACATGGAAGCAGAGTCCAGAACATGTAGGAAAAGTACATCAAGTTCAGCAAAGCTGCCTAACCAGCTCACACCTGACCTTGCAGAAATCAGTGAGCTCTATCAAGGCCAGCTCAAGCCAGTCGAATCACATAACCAAATGCAAAGTCAGAGCTAAATAAATGCTCCTCACATTGAATTAGTTGGCTTGGGGTTGTTGGTTACACAGCAATAGCTAACTGCTACAAATCACCAAGTAGAAGAACTTCCATTCAGAGAGCATCTAATTCCTTTCATACGGGAACCCTCTTTGTATTTGAATTCCTTGCTCATGCTGAGTGTGCTTTAGGTTTGGTTTAAGCAAAAAAAAAAAAAAAAAAAAAAAAAAAAAAAAAAAAAAAAAAAAAAAAGATCTATACAAACACACCCTACCTTTAAGCATGCTCACATTTTGGTGATACCTGGATAGTTACTTAGAAGTTGCTTTGAGTCAAGAAATGATTCCCAGAGGCTACTAACAGCAGGAACATTTTTAGGAGCAGTCTTGTTTATCATTGTCAATAGAGAATAACTGTGTAAATTATAGCCTGTGTGGGTAGGAGTAGAAAACAAAGGCACCTACAATTAAAAGGGAGAATTTCTTAAAGACGCATTTATCAGAACCCTCTAGTTGTCAAGGGCAGAAACCAAATTCAGACCAATGTAAGCCAAACATTAAGCTTGTGTTGGCTCCCTTGACAGAGACGGCATCTGTGGATGCTGAGACACAGTGATGTTGGGGTTTTAATGTTGTCTGTTGTTTGTAGTTTTGCCATCAGAATACATCCCCTTCAAGCATCTGGGGAAGAGGTCCACAAGCAGCAATGCATCTCATCCCCGTGTAACCTGGAGGCCCTGAGAAAGAACAGTTTTCCCAGCAAGGCCCAGGGAGGTCTCTGATCTGCTGGATTTGGCCCTGCTGAACCACAATTCAAGCACAGTTGAACCAATCATGCTGGATGGAAAGGTGCTGCAGTCTGATTGGCCAGACCTGGTCATGAGGTCAAGTGAAAAGGTCAGTCCTTCCTGAATGACATGGAGTGGGAGAGGATTGGTTTTCCAAGTAGGGGTTCTGGGTGAACTAAACAGCCTGATAACTGACGCAAGTGGGGGAGTATCAGAGGATTCAAGGAATAGGTGGATAGGCAGGCTCATGTTTGCAGTGGATACCACAGCAGACCTGAGGCCAGCAGCCCCAGAAGGATGCCGTGGGCATACCATGGCTCCCAGAGCCCAGGCTGTGAGTCTCTGGTTTCAAATTTTTAAATATTCCTTGAGAGGAAACCTGGTGATCTACTCCAGGTCAGATAATGCACTCCCGATTCCACCTTTCGTCATATGGTGGGGATTGGGAACATTGTGCAGACACCCAAAAAGCTACTGTCAAAGGTCTCTGCCTTCTTTTTTCTCTTCCTTCCTGTCACTTCTTTCTTCTTCCCCACTGTTCCCAAGGATCCATTCCCTATACCCAGGAATAGGTGAAAATATTTGCAAACTGAAGATTTGTTTAAAAAAAAAAATCATGGTACCCCTGAAATTTTGTTTTCCTCTTATATCTGTTTTGCTTTCAAATAAATACACTTATCTTATGGAACAAGTGGGAAGGAAAGACAGGTGTAATGGAAATACCCACAGACAGATAGCAAATAAACCAGGACTTCTGTTCCTGACCAGCCAGGTGAGTTTCTCAAAGTGATCTGACTTCTCAGAGCATTGTTTTTTCTCAGCTCTTGAACCATCAGCAGAGATTATAAAGTCTACCTCAGATAGTTGTGCAGGAATCTGCACAGCTTTCTATAGAAGCATGTTCTAGTTCCATCACAACAATGATTACTACCTCTATTGTTACTACCCAAAAACCCCAGCAACAATAGATGAGGGGGGCTCGGCTTTCAAGGCTCACTGTGGTGGGCAATTGAACATATTGTGAAAGCCAAGTGTCTTTCAGTGAATCTGAACCCAGGTCAGTGGTCTGAAGTCTGAGAAGCTGGCTATGCCCTCCCACTTTTGTCTTAGTGCTTCTTTGGGTGCATGTGCACAGCTCTAATTTCTGACTTTCTCTCTGCCTCTCTCTGTATCTCTTCGTTGTGTTGTCTGTGTTTTATTGTCTCTTGATTTCCTCTTCTAGACCATTTCCCTGGGTCCCCTACCCTACTCCCTTTCCCTAGTGGCCTTGGCATTCCCCAATTAGCACCCCTCCCCTCTTGCTTCTTCCACACAAGCTGGCCTGTCCTATGCTTCCTTTCCCTGTCACAAACAGCTGTTTCCTGTCTTGACAGCTTAAACAAACACATGTTAAAAGGTGGCTTGTGCCAACCTCTGGATACTCAAGCCAATGTAGCTGGCTGATACCCTGCAAGAGTGAGGGGTCACCCAGCTTGCTAAACCTGAGGCCCCTATGTGGGCACAAAGGCCCCAAAGGGGCCACCTGACTGCTGTCATGCAGCCAGAGGTCTCGTCCACACCCGCCCTGGGAAACATGGGGAGCAGCTGGGCCAAAGTAGGCACCCTGCTAGTTGTTCTCAGTGGGCCTTCAGGGAGTTTCCAAGATTGGCTTTGATGAAACTAAAAAGGTTGAATCATTAAATGTTTGGAGAATGTGAAGCTGGCACCCAGCCCTGTGTTTTCTGTAATATCAATTATTCCCGGAGACCGCTGCTGCTCACTGCGCTGGGAGGTGCTCGGAAGGAGGGCATTATCACCAGCTCACCTTTAAGCTGCAGGAGTAACACCCCAGGGGGGGGGTACTGTGTGGGTGGTCTGAAGACAGACTCAAGGGGCACAGGAGGGGCCGAAGTGGGAAGAAGAGAGATGGAGAGTGAGCAGGTAACCCTCATCATTGCCGCTAGCTGTTCCTCTGCAACTGGTTACACAGACATCCAACAGGTACCCATTATGTGGATGGTGCTTGCAAATAAATGATGGGCCTCTGTTCACATGTCTGGGGGGAGGGCATAATTACTACTTCTGTCCCAGGAAATTTCGTCCCTGGGTACACTCTCAATTTCTATCTGCATATACAGCTCCCAGCCGTGGTCAGACTTCTCCGAATTCCAGAATTCTACCTCTGACTGTGTTCTTGTTATCTCCTCTGGGATGTATTAAATGGACCCGGACTCAGCGTATGTGAGGTTACACCCAAGTTCTCCCTGCCACACACCTGTCCCTGGTCTTTCTCAGGAACTGATTCCACCCGCCTGTTGCACAAACCAGTTCCTGGACAGAATCCTCACCCCCTCTCTTTTGCTCACCACCATACTCATTCCCTCCTAGGACAGTTCAGTTCACCTCTTAACAATGTTACCAATACATCCTATGACTTCTTTGTCTCAGCCACCCCCAATTCTGATGCAACTCGCTGGGCTCTCATCTGGCCAAAGGCAGACTCTCCTCCTGGATCTCTCTCCAACCAGCCTGCCATGTGCCCAGAGTAATCCTTCTGGATGCAGGTGTGATTGAAACACCCCCCAGCCTACTCAGAACCCTTCCGAGGATAATGAGCCAGAAATCTTCAGAAAGTCCCAGAATCTATGCTCTAGCCCCTCTGTCCTCTCTGTTCTGACCTTTCTCCTTCTCTCAGTTCCCTGAAAGTACCAGGCTCCTGTTTGTCTGTGTCACCCCTTCCATCTGGAATACCTTTCTCCACACTTCTGCCACAATTTTTGCATAGGTAATACCATTGATCTGTAAAGCAAAAGACTAAAAGTTTATACAGAATTCTCCAACCCACTCTGTCCCTGTCCACCCAGTTCCTCCCCATACTCAATCCCCACCTCCAAATGCTTTAAGAGATTTTTAAAGCATAGCCAAGCACATCCACATATGTATTATATTCTTTCCAGTTTTACACAAAGGGGAGCACAATTTATACGCAGATCTGTCTTGCTTCCTCTTTTCACTAAACAATTTACCTTAGAGATAATTCTATCTCAGTACACAAGCTGATGTCTCTTTTCATAGCTGCATAGTATTCTACTCTATGGCTGTTCCATAATTTATGTAAACCATGCCCCCATTCACAAAGCTATACGTCATCTCTTTTTTTTTTTCTACTTTAAAGAACACTGCAGCAAATAATAATGTGCATATAGCACTAGGAGGAAAGTTTAGCTAAAAATTAAAATCCTACAAGAGGAATAGTGGGTTCTAAAAGATCATGCACTCACAATTCAGATAAATGTAGCTAAATTGCCCTGCATGGGAGTTTTAAATGACATTCTCACTCATAAGAGCCTGTTTTCCACAACCTTGTTAGAAGTTTTTTTTTTTTTTTTTTGGTCATTCTGGTAGGCAAAAATAGATTCTCCAATTTTTTTTAAATGCCATAAAGACTGAACAATTAACCAGTGTGACCTTTGCACATATGGTATCTGAGCAGGATCCCAGAATATATAAATGAAGCTGCTCACAGTCTGAAGCAACTAGACTCAGGACACCTGGACCCAGGGACCCAGTAGCCTAGGGCATCAATTTCT